CAGGCAGAGGGAACACAAGTACAAAGGCTCCAATGACAAAAGGAGGTTGGTGTGTTCTCAACTGAAAAGAGGCCAGGGTGGCCAAAACACACTGAGGAGGCAGTGAGGAACCAAGAGAAGGAGCAGGAAAAGTATTCAGCCCCCTTATGCACAACAGCAAATGCAGGTGCCTACCTCCCACTCTGGGGAAAGCCTTGGAATCAAAGAGACCCATGTTCACATTCTAACTTCACTTCTTTCTCACTGAGAGCCTTTGGGTAAATCTTTTAACTTGTCTGAGTCTGTTTTCTTACTTGTAAAACAAGACTTATATGGGAACAATCTATAGATCTATTATGTGGATTAAATAAAATAATGTATGTAAGTTAGCACAGCACCTAACACATATTTAGCACACATTATTTATTAATTACATCTTTGACCAAAAAGACTTACATAATTGTGACACAGTCAATAGTCAAGGTTGTATCCCCAGCTTTCAACAAATCACCAAATCATCCCATAGTTAGTGCTTAAAAAATGGTCACTCTTCCCATTGTGACTATTGCCAAGAACAGCAGACAGCTCATCAGAGTTTCTTCCGGGCTCTTTCTTGACTCCTCATCCCAGGCCAGCCAACTACAGATCTATCCAATCTTCAGCTCACCTACCTTAATGACAAACTAGAAATAAGGGTGCAGGAATGAGGGAATGACGTCCCAGGGAGCTAACAAACCCCCGGGTGACTAGTTAGAGTCCCAGTCTCTCTGTTTTGCTCAGGCTGTAAGAGTAAATAAGCTCGGCCCCAATGCAGAAATGCTTACTGCATTGAACTTTAATAAAACTCACACTTGGACTCCAGGAAATACTGCCATTTATATCCCCATTGATTTTCTAAGCCTATTTTATTATTCCTCTTCCCGGTGAGGGTTGTATATATTTTGGGACTGCATTCCTTTCATAAATAAGTAAATATGTGAGTAAATACTAATAAGAGCTAACTGTTATTAAGTGCTTGGGCCAGGGAAAGGGATGGTGCTGCAGGGCTTTGCCTCTGTTAGTTTATTCCCCCCGTTATAACAACCCAATGAGGCTGGCACTCCGGTGGTTTCCATTCTACAGAGGAGGAGACTAAGATCCCAGAGGTAAGGTCCCTCCCCCCAAAAAGGAGCAGGGTAGATGCTATACAGTCTAGTAGTTCCTCAAAAAGTAAGCACGGAGCTGCCATATGACCCACCAATGCCACTCCTAAGTGTATACCTACGAGAAATAAAGACATGTCCATCCATGTTCACGGCAGCACTAGTCATGAGAGGCAAAAAGAGGGAAAAATTCAAATGTCCATCAACAGACAAATGGACAAACACAACGTTATATATGCACTCGAGGAAATATTATTCAGCCATAAAAAGTAATGAGACTGACACACTAGAGCATGGGTGAATCTTGAAAACATTATGCTAAGTGAAAGAAGCCAGACACAAAACGCCACATATTGTATGATTCCATTGATATATCCGGATTAGCCAAACCCATAGAGACAGGAAGCAGACTGGTGGTTGCCAGGGGCTGGGGGATAGAAGGGAACCAGGAGTGACTGCAAGTGGAAACACGGTTTCTTTCCAGGGTGTCGGGGGGGTGATAAAAATGTCTGGGGCGCCTGGATGGCTCAGTCAGTTAAGCGGCTACCTTGGGCTCAGGTCATGATCCCAGGGTCCTGGGGTTGAGCCCCATGTTGGGCTTCCTGCTCAGCAGAGAGTCTGCTTCTCCCTCTCCCTCTGCCTGCTTGTGCTCTCTATCAAATAAATAAAATAAAATATTAAAAAAGTTCAGGAATTAGTGATGATGGTTGTACATCTCTATAAATATACTAAAACCCACTGAATTGTATACTTTTACATTGTGAATTTTATGGTAAATGAATTGTATCTCAATTTTTATTGAAAAAGAGGGAGAGCATAGATTTAACTTCAAGGCCATGTGATCCAAAGGCTTGATTACTGCATTCTGAGCAGCTCATGTGGACATGAACCCAAACTCCACTTTACTTCCTAAGTGCCTTCCTTCCCTTAGTCCCTACCAGTCAAGCTTCTGAAGTCAATGCCAGGCCAGAGAGGGAAATGCTGAGTGCCTGAACTAAGGCAATAGTTTGATAAAGCCAATAGTCTTTCCTTTCTCTAAACCCCCTGAGCATGGGGCTGGCTCCTTCCCAGGCCTGGGACCCTGAGCACATCACAGAGTACTCCATTAATGGAAGCTTTACGTCATTTGGAAGCTTCTGGGGCTAAGAAAATCTCAGTGGTCAGCAAGTTTAATCACAACTGCCCGAATGAGGCCAGCTCACCCATTAATAACAAGCCAGTTCCAGAAGGGAGAGGCAAGATGGCTGACGCAAATGAATTTCTCTAACTACAGATTCAACAACTATGATAGCCTGGCCCCCCAGGCTACATCTTCACCGATACATAATAATTTGTACTTCTGCAAGTGTTCCCAGTTCACACACACACACACACACACAAGCCTAAAGAAGACCCCAAGCAAAGAACATGGCCTGGCACAAAGGACAGGAGCTTTAATGTTTGAGAGTCCTGGGTTCAGATTCTGACCCTACCACTTAGAGGCAGAGTAGCCTTAAGCGGGTCACATAATTTCTCTAAGCCTCAGTTTCCCCATCTGTCAAATAACTTCTACGTCCTTCATGGTTATACTGGAACTAGGAGATGTTATATCTGAATGTTCCCACTTGCAGTGGGGCTCAGCACATGGTAGCTGTTATTAACTGTAGTATTAAATGACTTGGGTCATTTCCACATCATGTCCCCCAACACACTGAAGTTTGGGGTATGGCAGCAGCCACGTGGCCAGAAAATGATTCTATAATTTTAGTGCACCTGGGATGCTTGTTTAAAACACAAGCATTTGGAGCGCCTGGGTGCGTCAGTCAGTTGAGCATCTGCCTTCGGCTCGGGTCATGATCCCAGGGTCCTGGGATCGAGCCCCGCATCGGGCTCCCTGCTTGGCAGGGAGCCTGCTTCTCCCTCTCCCTCTGCCCCTCCCCCACTCATGCTTGCTCACTCTCGCTTGCTCTCTCTCTCAATGAATGAATAAAATCTTTTTTAAAAAAAAACAAAAACAAAAACGCTAGCATTCCCTGTGCTCACTTCGGCAGCTATACATACACTAAAACATAAGGATGCTCAACCCCTGCAATTCTGATTGCAGGGAGGGGGACTGAAGGTGCTGCTCAGTGTTTGAAACTTTCAGATAATGGGGGCATCCGGCTGGCTCAGTTGGTAGAGCATGCAACTCTTGATCTCAGGGTCATGAGTTTGAGCCCCATGTTGGGTGTAGAGATTACTTAAGTAAATAAACTTAAAAAGAAAAAAAGAAATCAGGGGTGCCTGGCTGGCTCAGTTGGAAGAGCATTTGATTCTTGATCTTGGGGTCATGAGTTCAAGCCCCATGCTGGGTGTAGAGATTATTAAAAAAATAAACTTTAAAAAAGAAATCAGATGCCATTTGGATTTCAAAACAAAACAAAACCCAGAAAAACCAACTTTCAGATAATGGTTCCCAGCCCTGGTTACACACCGGAAAGCTTGGGTTTGTTTGTTTTGATGCCTGGATCCTACCCCTACAGATTTTGATGTCTTGGGACCCTTGTGTTGCTGGGATATTGGTATTTTTTAAGGTTCCCAGATGATTCTAATGTGCAGCCAGGCTGAGAACCCCTGCTATAAGCCCATGCTTCTCAAAACTGTGGTCCAGGGACCCACGGCATCAGCAGCACTGGGAACTTTTAAAAAAGCACAATCTCCTTCTTTCCCCCAACCTACTGAATCAAACTCTGGGAGTGGGTCCCAGCACACAGTGGTTTTAATAAGTCCTCTGGGAGATTCTGATGCCTGCTCAGGTATAAGAACCCCCACTGTGAGGCATGGTATCCCCTAAATTGCATAATGATAAGAATCACGTTGGGGTGTGCTTACCATTCCTAGACAACCCCCCTACCCACTCACCCAGATTCTGAGAGGCTGGAATGGAGCCTGGGTACGTGCATTTTTTAACAAGTACTCCCTTACTCTCCTGCTCAAACTACCAAGGGCTCTTACAGCCCTTGGAATTAAATCCAAAATCCTCTCCTCAGGACACCCCTTCTGAACCTCAGGCAAGTCAAGGCAATGCTGGTTTAAAGAAACACCACCCAGGGGCACCTGGGCGGCTCAGTCAGTTAAGTGCCTGCTTTCGGCTCAGGTCATTATCGCAGGGTCCTGGGATCGAGTCCCGCAACGGGCTCCCTGCTCCCTGGGGAGCCTGCTTCTCCCTCTCCCGGTCTCCTGCTCGTGTTCTCTCTCAAATAAATAAAATCTTAAAAAAAAAAAAAAAGAAAAGAAAAAGAAACACCACCTAGTGAGGGGTGTCTGGGTGGCTCAGTCAGGTAAGTGGCTGTCTGACTCTTGATCTGGGGTCAGGTCATGATCTCTGGCTGGTGAGACTGAGCCCCCAGTGCAGCTCCGCGCTCAGCAGGGAGTCGGCTTGTGCCTCTCCCTGACCCTCCCCTCACTAGCGCCCTCTCTCTTTCTCTCAAATAAATAAAATCTTAAAAAACAAACACCACCTAGAGGACTAAAATCCCCACCCACCCTCTTACCACCACCACCACCACCACGTCTTAAGTCTCACGGGTTTTTTTAAACTGTTATAGAGGCTGTTTGAGGAAGCACGGGAGGGTGCACACAATTTCCCTGAAGAGCTTCTCCGGCAAATACCACAGCCCTCCACCCCCTCATCCCGGGGGTACGTTCGCGACCCACCCCCTTCAACACACACACACCTGACCCCGAGAACTGAACACTGCATGTCCTGTTTTCTCCTCTACATACACACCTATGAGAAAAGTTTAATTTATAAATTCGGCGCAGTGAGAGATTAACAAGAATAATAGAACAATTTTAACAAAACACTATAATAAAAGTTGTGTGAGTGTGGCCTTTCCCTCTCACAGTCCTGGTACTCACCCTTCTTGCGACCACGTGAGCTGATAAGACGCCTCCGTGGTGAGGCAAAGTGAGGTGGGTGACGTAGGCGCCCTGACGTCGGCGCCCTGACGTCGGCGCCCTGACGTTGCCGCCGTGACGTAGCGTTAGGCGTTAGGCACCTTTTGACCTACTGTGGATTCGTCACAAGGAGGAGCGTCCGCTTCAGACCGCAGTTGATTCCAGGATAACCGAAACTGCGGTTAGAGAAACCGCAGATAAGGGGGATTACTATAATTACTCTTGCACCCAAACCACTATTATCTGTCTTCTCTTTATTTAGACCATAACCTAAATCAGAAAATATTAAAATCTATGTACATGTCACATCTGCATACACACACCACACTGCACATATATATACAAATATCTACCCAGAACACTTCCCGAAAACCAGCCCTGTGCCCCTGCCCTGCAGCATTCACACCCCTCTCTACCCATCTATATACTCGGTTGTCAGAAGCTTTGCTTGTTCTGAACTACCTACGGCCCAAGATCTTTGCTGAGATGCTGGAACTAACCATCAGTGGGGAACAAACACGAGTAGCCTCCTACCCAACAGCAGCCCCTCTTCTTTCCAGCTCCTCAATTTTGCGCAGGGATCAGGTGGCCAAGCACTCAGGGAAGGTGCCCCATCTCCCGGAGATACTTCTAAGCTAAGGGGTGGCAACCTTTCAGACCCGGTAGCTCCTTTTTTATAATAAAAATGTTTATAATCGCCCCATTACTCTTCTTCCTAAAGGGAAATTCAACACATAATTTTTTTTCCACACTTTTTTTTGTTAGGTCGATGTAATAACCTCATTGTAATATGAAGGAAAAACTAAAAGGATATCTATAATAGATAATAGGCATTTTAACATATAAATGCTCAGACACCATTGCACAGAAGACATCAGAATGAAGCAGCCAGATGCTTACAGCTAGACTTAACTATAGAAGGAACAGCCACAAACATGGACAGGCACGGACCAGCTGATGGTCCCTCAAACACCACCGACCTGATTGCCACCAGTGATAGGAGTTCCTGAAGTAGAGGAGCAACTCTTACTAACATTCTCAACAAAACAAAGTACAGAATTCCTTTGTTAACAGTCTGTAGCTGCATCCCTGGAAAAGTTGGTCTATATTAAAACACTCAAAGCTGTTTATATGCAAGTGGAGTTAGGTTCTTGGCTCAAATGATTACAATGAATGTCTAGAAGGGACACTCCAGTGGAGGAACTGACCTTTGCCTTGCAGGATGTGTAACATCTCTGACTCTCCCAGCACTGTAATGCCCCTGGCACCCTCTGATCATTGTGACAACAAAAATGTCCCCATACATTTCCAAAAACACCCCCTGTGATCAGTACTGTTCCTGTGGAAAACTGCAGGTTCCAACAAGGAGATGGCCCTCTTGCTCCCTTCCTCCCACCCTTCCTGTTTTGAATGCTGTTGTATTAGGACATGGTGCTTGGAGCTGTGGCAGTCATTTTGAGGCCATGAGGTAAAGACTAAGCCTTCACAGAGACACCACCCTAGTACCTAGAAATGACTGAGTGACTTCCCCAACTCTCTAACTGCCTACCTCCTGACTTCAGATTATACAAATTAATCAAATGCCTTTATTGTTTAAGCCTTATTATTTGAATCTTCTCTCACTTGCAGTGGAACATATCCTTACTGATAGAGGTAGGATGAACAGGCCAGTGTGGGTGGGTAGAACAAATTTTATTTTTCATTTATTTATTTGAGAGAGTGAGCGAGGTGAGGAGCAGAGGGAGAAGCAGGCTCCCTGAGGAGTAGAACAAATTTAAAAGATCTAGGCCATATGATGATTTGATGCTCAGGGCTTTACTTTAAATACTCTCAGCAAAAACAAACAAAAAAAACTGATTCTTGGGTGCCTGGGTGGCTCAGTCGGTTAAGCGACTGCCTTCGGCTCAGGTCATGATCCCAGGGTCCTGGGATCGAGTCCCACATTGGGCTCCCTGCTCTGCAGAGAGCCTGCTTCTCCCTCTCCCACTCCCCCTGCTTGTGTTCCCTCTCTCGCTGTGTCTCTCTCTGCCAAATAAATAAATAAAATCTTAAAAAAAAAAAACTGATTCCTAGTTACAAGATGAATAAGTTCTGGGGATATAATGTACAGCATGGTGACTACAGTCAACTATATCATATATTTGCAAGTTGCTAAGAAAGTAGATTTTCAAAGTTCTCACCACACCAAAAAAACTGTAACTATGTGAGGTGATGGATGCCTTAACCAACCTTATTGTGTAATCATTTTATAATAGATACATATATCAAATCATTACATTGTATACCTTAAACTTGCACAATATTATATGTCAGTTGTATATCAATAAAGCTCGAGGAAAAAAATTCTGTGGAGGGAGGACTGGGGTGGGTTTGACAAGATTTTTTTTTTTTTAATATTTTATTTATTTATTTGACAGAGACAGCGAGAGAAGGGAACACAAGCAACAGGAGTATGAGAGGGAGAAGCAGGCTTCCTGCCAAGCAGGGAGCCTGATGGAGGGAGGCTGATGCAGGGAGCCTGATGCAAGGAGCCCGATGCAGGGAGCCCAACACAGGGTTCAATCCCAAGACCCTGGGATCATGACCTGAGCCGAAGGCAGATGCTTAATGGCTGAGCCACCCAGGCGCCCCTTGACAAGATTTTTTAAGTTAAATCTTTAGAAATCCCTCTTGAGAAAAAATGAATTTTGGTGGTGGGGATAGATTCAAAAAGACAGCAAATGCTGATAACCGTTGAAGCTGGGTAATGAATATACTACCCACATACATATTGTATATAATTGTGAAAATTATCATAATAAAGTGGGAAGATACACAAAAATTTTAAACGTTAATTGTTTTGTTAAATAAAAAGTTTGGTTTGCTTCTCTCCTGGAGCCAGGCTATAATTCCTATTTTGTTTTTTGGTTTTTTTAGAAGAATTGGAGACTATCCATGACAGTTGGTGGTCAGAATCTACATCACACAATGGGTCCCTATAGATCTTATCCTGAAGGTACAAATTAGGAAAACTGAGAGACATTATAGCACATCCGCTGAGCCCAATGGCTTTGAGATACAAAAGTTCAGGCTCTGCTATCTATCAGTTGTGCTACCTTAGGCAGGTTACTAACCTCTCTGAGCCTTGGTCACCCGTGCTGTAAAATGGGTTTAGCAATAGTGTCCACCCCTTGGGTGGTTGTGAGAAACAAATGAAATAACATATGTACTTAAGGAATAGTAGCTACTGTGGTTATTATTTTATCTTTACTTCTAGACTAAAACCTGGATTCTCACCTTTTTCCCCATCCACCCAGGTAAATGATTAAGTGTTCCCAAGCTTTTAACTTGACTACATTTCTGAGCCCCACCCCACCTCCATTCTGACCTTAGCTACCCTCCTCTCCACTCCCCACTCCAACCCAGTATTGATATGTAATTCACAATTTTAACATGCCAAGGACTGGGCTAGGCTCTTTACTGAATTATTTCATTTAATCTGTGGTTTTATTAGACCCATTTTACAAAGGAAGAAACTGAGGCTTAGAGAGGCTAAGATTATACAGCTAGGAAATGGGCTCTGAAACCAGGTGTACCTGATTCCCCAAAGTTGCAGTCATTTTTAGTTTTCCCAACATAGGTACTGAAGGGTCCAAATAAAGATCTCACCCCCAAGACAAGCCCACATTTGATCTCTACATACACACAGGTACTACTCCATTGTTTATTCCCATTTTGCAGATAGGAAAACTAAGTTCTAAGGTCTACCTCAGCAAGACCATCTTCCTGATTCCACTTCTCATGGCTGGGTGGGAAGCTTACATCCATGAGCTTCAGAACCAGGACTCCTTTCATTCCTCTCCCCACTCCACCACTGACTCAATCTGTGTCCAGGCCTGGGGAAGCAGGCGGGGTGGCACAGTGGGCCAGAACTGGCCCAGGTATCAGAAAGTACAGTTCTGGCACGACTCAGCTGTGTGACGTTGGGTCACTCATCACTCACTTCCCCTCTCTGAGCCCCGAGCTCCTCATCAAACTTTCCATCTGTGATCATCTCATCAGCCTCCAGGGGGAGAGCACCACTCTCACAGTCTGAGCCCCACCATTCCTCAACCTCACCTTCAGAAGGTGGAGACACAAAGAGCTGTAAAACACAAAGAAGTAGGCTCTTTGGAGCCAAAAGTTGCTGTCCTTTCAAGGACAAACAGAAAACGGTCCTGCTTTAACCACGTAGACCCTGAGCTCGCCTGAGCAGGGTGAAGAACCATATCTGTGGGAAGCACTGCCACCCTGTGGCCACTGAGCTCCACTGCAGGCCACCTCCAGGGGTTTGCAAGGGGTAAGTCCGCCTTCAGCTCAGAGGCTGTGACTCAAAAGGAGAGGAGGAAGGCACAGTTGGTTGGCCTTGATGGGTGGGAAAACTCAACAAGGCCTAGAGGAGAGAGGGCAGCATGGCATACTGGGAAACACAAAGGCTGTTCCCCCACACACACCTGGAATGCTCTTTCCCAAATACAGACATTGCTCCCTCTCTCAGCCCTGCAAGCCCGACTCGCATGTTTCCGTCTCTCACCTCCCTATTTAAAATGCCACACCTGTGGCCCCATTCCCTTGTGCTCCATTATTTGTCCCCATATCACTCATCCCCATCTGAGGGTCTACATGTTTTAGAACCTTAGACTATATGTTTTTTGCTCATCATCTCTCCCCTGACTAAAATGTCAATTTTAACAGGACAGGAATTTTCATCTGTCCTACTGGCTGCTGCATCCCCAGCACCTAGGACATTGCCTGGCCCATATCACATTCATTCATTCATTCATTTTTTAAAAGATTTTATTTATTTATTTGAGAGAGAGAACGAGATAGTGAGAGAAAGAGCACGAGCAGTGGGGAGAGGGAGAAGCAGGCTCCCTGCTGAGCAGGGAGCCCAATAAGGGGCTCCATCCCAAGACCCCAGGATCACGACCTGAGCCTAAGGCAGACGCTTAACCGACTGAGCCACCCAGGCGCCCCTCACATTTTTTTATTAAATGAATGAATGAAC